CTGCGGGAGAAGGAAATATTAATAACAATTTGAGCGAGGCCGAACAACTATGGATCTCACGAACTAATCTAGAAGTACCAAGAACCAGAAAAAATCTTTAACAAACCTGGAATATTCCTCTTGTAAAAAATGTCTTGAATAATTTGTTAAACTTGGCTAAATCTCCTATAGATAAGGCACGTATGAAAGTAGTGTCGTCAAAACATGCAGGCGCTTGGTTGGATGATGGGAAACGACCAGATGGCATTACTCTCATTCCTTGGCGGAAAGGAAAACCGGTTGTCTGGGATTTCACATGCGTTGATACTTTGGCTCCTTGTCATGTTCCTTCGTCTTCTGTATCCAGCGGTGCAGCAGCTTCATCAGCGGAATTGTCAAAAACACGGAAATAGAATTATTTGTGGGATAATTCCATTTTTTATGCAATAGGAATCGAAACATTTGGTACCATAGGCCCCCAAGCATTGGAGTTCATTCGTGAAATCGGCATTAGGATATCCAAAGAGACAAATGACCCAAGAGCTACCTCATTCTGATTCAAAAAATTAGCATTCTGATTCAAAGAGGAAATGCAGCTTCATGTTCAGGTACAATTCCTCAACCAAAAACCCTAAGTGAATTATTAATGTTTCCCACGAACAAAATATATCGGCTTGTACAGACAGTGTAAGAAATGGAGTTATGCAGTTTGGCGGAAGACTCGCATCAAAACGGTCAAGCTTTAACAGAAGAGGAAGTGGGAACTCTAAATGAGGCATAGTTTGGTCCTCTGGCTGAGCCCCCACAGTCGCCAAAAGAACTAACATCTAATTCAGTTTTGAGCAGTTTAGCATCGAATTCCTTATTCTACCAGTCCAATGAAGGGGTGAATCATAGTATCCGTGTTTACTAAGAAGACGATAGTAGTGGCAAACGTAGTTGCAACAATAGATCGGTGATACATTCTTCAGTCAAAACTCTTGGGTTCAATGGATTAAAAAATCTTGGAAACACCTGTTTCATGAACAGTATAATCCAATGTTTATCAAACACCGGATGGTTTCTGGAATACTTAAAAAAGGATACATACATGGAAGATATCAATACTAGTATTTCTAATATTAAAGGTGTTTTAATCAAAGCGTTCGCAGAAGTTATCAAGGAATTGTGGTCAGTAGATTCATCTGATAGAGTAATTAACACAGTCTACTTCAAAAATCAGATTCAAAGATTTGCCCCTTGATTCATGGGTTCTGCTCATCAAGACGCCCACGAATTCCTTCGATATCTTTTAGGAGGTTTACATGAGGACCCCAACAGAATTATTGTGAAATCTGAACCGATCTTAACTGAGATTGACGAAACATTGAGCGATAACGGAAAAGCCCAAGAGTCCTGGCAGAGATATTTGAATATGAACAACTCCAAGATTGTAGACTATTTCGTTGGTCAGTTAAAATCCACTATGAAGTGCACACACTGTGGACACTCATCAGTAACCTTTGATCCTTTATGGGATTTATCTCTTCCCATACCACAAAGAAGTGGCCAATTGAGTTTGTCACATTGCTTGGATTCTTTCACAAAAGAGGAAACTCTGGATGGAGATGAAGAACCAATGTTTTTGAGGTGCAAGCAAAGGAGAAAATTCAAAGTCCTTATCAATCTATAAGTTTTACCGTATTTTAGTAATTCATTCGAAAAGATTCTCTCAAACGGAAAGATTCAGAGGCAAATTGAATGTTTCCATTGACTTTTCTTCAGATGGATTAGATATGAGCAGTTATGCAGCAGACAATGTGGCTCCTTGTCGTTATAATCTATATGCACTTTCAAATCACAGTGGGACTACTTACAACGGACATTACACAGCATATTGCAGACACCCATATAGTGGCATGTGGCATGAATACAACGATTCACACGTGTTCCCAATTTCGCCAAAATAATTTGTGAGCGATGAGGCATATGTCCTCTTTTATGAACAGGAGGGAACGAAGCAGCACCTTTGATATGATTTTTTTTTCTTCTTAGTTCTTTGAATTGATTTGTATTTCATGATTGTTTCAAATAAAATCATGGGAAAAAAATGAGAAAGGAATCCAGTAAATGCCATTAGTTCATGTTATACGAGAAGGAGTAGGAAATAACATCCGGATATTGTGTGAAAATAATTTTTCTACAAGTTTCATGAGATTTAATTTTTTTGCTTCTGAGAAAGAATCATATGACAAATAAAGTATTCAGACTACCATTAAAATCCATTGCACAGTTTAATTACTTTATTCAAACACTTTATGTGATATTGATAATTCTGAACAATAATGTCAACAATGGTTATATAAGTCATATATTGATAATGGTTATATTTATGGAGTATCTTCCTTCTTTAGATCAGGACAAACGCAAGATGATCCAAGACAATAACATCTTCCATTACAGTTACTGGAATCGCATTTTTTGTCCACCTGAAAATCAGGGCAGATACAAGATGAACCCAAGCAGTAACATTTTCCATTGCAGTTACTGGAATCGCATCTGGCTTCCGTTTTTAGATCATGACACACGCAAGAAGACCCAACGCAATGGCAGCCATCTTTGCAATTACTCGAATCGCATCTTCTTTCTACCGATGAATCAGGGCAGATGCAAGATGAACCCAAGCAGTAACAGTCTCCATTGCAGTTGCTGGAATCGCATCTGGCTTCTGTTTCTAGATCATGACACACGCAGGATGATCCAACACAATGACAGCCGCCATTGCAATTACTGGAATCGCATTTTTTTCCTTCCGGTGAATCAGGGCAGATGCAAGATGAACCCAAGCAGTAACAGTCCCCATTGCAGTTGCTGGAATCGCATCTGGCTTCTGTTTCTAGATCATGGCACACGCAGGATGATCCAACGCAATGACAGCCGCCATTACAGTTGCTAGAATCGCATTTCGTTTGAATTCCTCCAAGACCTGGAAGGAATAAAAATAAAGTCACAGAAATCCTGCGTGGACAATAGATAAGTTCCGGTACTTTGGGTTGAACACAATTTTTTTCAAAACAACAATGGAATAATTGAATATTACTGGAGTTTTTTTTCTCAACACCAAATCGTTAAAGCAGGAGAGCAGGCAATACGCTTAACGGAAGCTGGTAGCACGACCAATGAATTTGGTTAGATGGTCGATACTGATAGAGGTGACTGAAACTTCTTGACCAAATAGAATCACATTCAATAATAGTAGTCCACATCAAAATTGCAGCTACTCCTGCGGCTATCCAAGAATAATTATAATAGGACTGATGATAACAACAATAAAGTAATTAGTCATTGAACCCCACTGGATGTATATCCAGGTAACCTTTAATGGTTGTTGGGTTAGCCAGTTCAAATTTCATTCCTCTCGGTCGTATGGGGGGTGTGAGGGTCATACATTGAGATGGTATAGAACCCAAGTTGTGAAATATACAAACTGGGGAAAATACAAATAATGTATTTGTCTTTGAGACCCTATGCATGAGGCCAAAGTATTATTTGGATTGATTTTCAGTCCATGATTGTAGGAATGTTTTGTGCAAATCTGTGTTTATATTGGCCACTTTCTGTATCGGTGTTATGAGAAGACAAATATAACTGTATATCTTCTGCGTATGACAATATGATAAGAAAATAGGGGTAATCAAACATAAACACTGAAAACATCATGGGTCCTAAAATACTTCCCTGCNATGCATAAGGCCACAGTTTTATTTGGATTGATTTTTAGTACATGATTCTCCGAGTATAGGAATGTTTTGTGCAAATCTGTGTTTATATTGGCCACGCAACTTTCTGTATCGCTTGTATGAGAAGACAAATATAACTGTATATCATCTTCGTATAGATGTACTTGACAATGTGATAATAAAGTGGGGTAATCAAACATAAACACTGAAAACATCATGGGTCCTAAAATACTTTCCTGCGGTACACCTGAGATTGTTTCATTAGACACGAAAATATGATATTTTTTATGATATGAATCATGAAATATGTATGTTCATGTTATATGCGTTACGTTTATGAAACTTTCTCACCTGTATCATGTTTCTTCGCATATCGGCCAGCACCCAAAACAAAGAAGGGCCCAAAAATAATGAAAACTGAAAATAGGAATACTTTCATGTTGGAAATCTTATGTTTTATACAATATCGGCAAATACAATCAAACCACTAACTGATCAATGCAATATCTACAGAAACCAATTTCTTATATAGTGAATTTCAATGAATTAAATTAGGTTGGGTTTCATTGGTGCATCTGATTTTTTTTTGTAAAATAAATATCTCAAGTGTTTTGTTTTCAAATGATTTTAGCCCAATTGTAGCATTCGAAATATTTTTATAGATAAGATCAGTGATTTTCCAAAGAATACATGACATCTTCACAGGAAACAAATATTTTGGATATTTTATTGTGAAATCTCAACCAACCTGATTCATACAAACATCGAACAATATACTTCTCATGACGCTCTCATTTATATTCAATTTCATTCGTTTACTGTTAGTCATTGTGAAAAATTTCCAGAAAGCAGATATTTTATTACTAAGTTTTATCTATATCTCAAGATTGATTTACAACATACACAATTTTAAGACAACGATAAAAATAAAATAAATACAACAATAAAAATCAATTGGCGCTCCGGGGCGA